TGACATGATACTCTATATAGAAGACCCCAAGAACTCCACCAAAAGTCTTCTAGACTTAACCAAATTCAGTAGAGTAGCTGGATACAAGGTCAACACCAAAAATCAATAGCTTTCCTCTACACAAACAACAGACTCACTGAGAGAAATAGGGCGAACAATTCCTTTCACAAGAGCAACCAAAAACTTAAATACCTAAGAATCAATCTAACAAAAGAAATCAAAGACTTCTTCTCTGAAAACTACAGCACTTTGAAAAGAGAGATTGAAGATGATATCAGAAAATGGAAAGACATCCCTTCCTCCTGGGTAGGAAGAATTAGCATAGTGAAAATGGTCATACTTCCAAAACTGCTGTATAGATTCAAAGCAATCCCAATTGAAATTCCAGCAGCATACTTCATGGACCTTGAGAAAACAACCCAAAAATTCATTTGGAACAAGAAGAGACCAAGAATAGCAAAAGCAATTCTAGGCAACAGAGACATGGCAGGGGGTACCACAATCCCCAAAATGAAAATATACTAGAAAGGCACAGTGATAAAAACAGCATGGTATTGGAAAAAAAAACATACCTGAGGACCAGTGGAACAGATTAGAAGATGCAGAAACAACTCCAGAAACAGCCACCTCATCTTGGACAAAGGAGCCAAATACCCTCACTGGAAGAAAGATAGCCTCTTTAATAAATGGTGCTGGAAAAATTGGGTTTCCACTTGCCAAAGATTAAAGCTACACCTATATTTCTCACCATGCACTAAAATAAAATCGAAATGTATTAAAGATCTAAATATTAAAACAGAAATGCTGAACCGGCTGGAAGAGAGGTTAGGTAGAACTCTTGAAGACACTGGTGTAGGAAAAGATTTTATGAACAAAACCTCAGTTGCCCTTGAACTAGCACAATCAACAACTGGGATCTCTTCTTATTCAAAAGCTTCTTCACAGCAAGAGAATCCACCAACAGTGTGAAGAGACAGTCCACAATGTGAGAAAAAATTTTCACCTGCTGTTCCTCAGATAAAGGTCTACTATCTAGAATCTATAAAGAACTTAAAAAAATCAGGCCTCCCAAATTTAAAGACCCAATCCGAAAATGAGCATCTGAAAAGAACAGAAATTTCTCAGACAAAGAAGTAGAAATGGCAAATAAACATATGAAAAAATGTTCAACATCACTGGTCATTCG